AATGACTATAGTTAAATCTTTCACAGTTACATAATGCCCATAATTTTCATATTGACGTATAGATTCTTTTTCTATACAAAAAAGAGATGCAGTTAAACTTAAACCATTTTCGTATTATAAAGACATGTATTTAAAAGGAAACAAGAGAAATTATTTTAAGATCTCAAGTACGTTCAAGTAGAGAAACATCTAAGAAAGGCATGATAACACAGAATGTTAGGATATATATATATATATATATATATATATATATATATATATATATATATATATATATATATATATATATATATATATATATATATATATATATATATATCCCGCTTATTGAGAGACGTGTTTCAATAGTAATCCTGTATCCGTGCAAAACGATAATCCTTTCTCCAGGCACAATCTCTTTTGTGTAATTATTCATGCAGTTTGTGTTGGATTAACATGCAACTTGGTAGACAGTATGGCCATTTTGCACATATCAGCAAAACACTTTTCTGTCTTAGTGCTTGTTCAAATTATTGCCTATTATGGCTTGTGACACAACATGTTATCTATAACGTAACAATTCTCCTCGTGGAAGCCGAAGACTGTCAAGGATATGACCTGAAAATGTGTATATCACGAAATTTGTTTGTTTGCACAATATTTATTTACAGTTATTGTATTTTTGGTATTTTAGCTTAATGATATGACAAGCTCTCTAGAATATCTAGTCCTGCAGTTTTTAATGGACTGGGGGACTGTCGCGGAATTTGACAACTATTATGGTCATTATCTTAAGATACGTATCGACCTTCCACAACGTTGTTGTAATTATTACCAGTTTGAAGTTCAATTCAGTAGGACACAAAGTAGATAGCGCAGCTAGTCTCCCTGATTTAGGTGAGTTTGCTTTAAACGTTGGTAAATATTATGGGCATCACCATAAGATGCACATATCGGCAAATCGCTTTGTGTGTTTTACTATTGACATGCATTTTGTATTTTGAGACGAAGTACGTATTATGGCTATAGTAATATGTAGCTCTTTTTGAACTACGTTATATCTGTATTGTGAATGCAACTACTCCTGTGTTTAGTGGATTACCGTGAAACTTGGAATGTCGTATATTCATCAAGGTAGGCACGTTGATCAATGATTTCATGTTGCGATGTTGCAACAATACTTATTTCATGCTGGGGTCTATAGCTCACTGTTAGAGTTGGTGTGTTGGACAAGTCAGGGGTGTGGCTCAGGTGAGGGTTGTGGGACAGGTAAGGGGTGTGGGACAGGTGAAAATATATTTATATGATAAAATTGCTCACCATTCCTCAAGTTTTACTCTTCACGCCGATGACAGATGTATTCACGCAGAGCTAATACGTGAGAACGCCACTGATAATAAACATGCATTTTACTATTTCCATCCGTATGACTGATTATAAAAGGGCAATGAAGTGTTTTTAGCAAATGTTTCCGGGTCCTTTTTGTAAGAAGCTCGACACATCGACAACTCTAGCATCTGTGTGCGTATCCGTTATTGTCTGTCTTACTAAATATTAGCCTCAATATTGAAATATTTCTGTTTTAATGAAGGTACCATATTATCCCGTTCTCCTCAAATTTTGCAGAAACCCTGATGTAGGTTTGGCATTTGATACACTGTCAACATTTCGCTTTATCTTGATACTAGAGTTATAATACTGCAGAAAAAAGAAACAAAATGTGCACATAATATTTTTTATGCAATAATTTGGTTTCTTTGCTTGTTAATATCGTTTGGATTTAAAATTCGACGCAATTATGCAACGTCACTTGCAATGAACTTTTCAAAGTCAGTCATAATTATGCTTATTGTAAGAGTTAAAGTGTTCGTAATTAATGTGATATCAATGTGTTAGATACGAGATCAAGAGCCAGTAACACTTTTATATTTAAGTCGTAATATGAACGTGTTTGTATCACTTTTTAGAGATCTTATTTTTTATCTTGTACGTTTCTTGTTCATTTTTTCAGATGAATGGTAATGACTTAAATGGAACTGAACTTAGAAGACGAACGCCATATGAACACGATAACCTGGCTTACTCTAACGCAAGTAGGACAGCATCGATGGATACGCGCTACCAGACGGCTGACTCCATACTTTCTAACCATCATACCGGATATAATTCATTCGACGGAGATAGCATCAAAGTTGAGCAGAAGAACCATTCCAATATGAAGTAAAGATATTTTTGTGAAAATATTTTAAAATTTTGACTCGTGAAGTCAGTTAAGTGTATCATCTGTTATTGTGAAAGTTTAATTACATGAGTGCTTGTTGGATAAAAAGAATTTGACTCTTGCAACACAAGTAATATTACACATGTAATATATAATTATATCTGTCAAAAGCCTTTATTTCGACACTGTGCATAACAAACCTACGGATAAAGCAACCTGTTACGACCAGTTTGATATAGTCATTATATAATCAAATAGAATCCTTCATATGCATCGTCACATACTGGGTAAATTAAAATAAGTTCAGAACTGTGCGTCAGACAATCGGCAAAGTGTCGTGCTTTAGGCAAAATTCTGAACTCGAAGGTAACATTTTCCTATAAAAATGTGCAAAGAAAATGATTTGTCTCACATTCCTGAAACAAAATATATATGTGTGTATGTGTGTGTGTGTGTGTGTGTGTGTGTGTGTGTGTGTGTGTGTGATTCGGATTTTTAACTTGACTTTAACAATTTTCTGGTCTTATTGCTACAATCTTTGCAGTGAGGCGGTTTATAGGAATGTCTAGCACTGGGGCATCATGCCGCAGACATGTGGCATCATGTCCCAACCGGTCACATTATTTTGATACCAGGCGGACAAGTCCTAACATTAACTTCTTAATTTTGAGCGCAAAGCGAGGCTGCTGCTAGTACAGTTTATAAGTCTTTTGCATGACTCGGCTGGGGTTAAAACCTGCGAACTGCCGTGTCCGCGGAGGAAAAATTGTGGTAGAAACGACTAATTGGTTCGATACTCATGCAAGTTTAATATTCTTTCACCTAATGACGGAATGTAAACTATTATATTTACATTGAATAAAACAGTGAGAACTCTAAATAATATTGATTCAGAGTTTAAATAACTGTTCATGAAACCTCGTGAAAATGGCAACCAACAACATTTTAATTGTGTACTGAAGCTTGCCTGTGTAATGGTACAAACATGAACATATAATAAATAAAGACCACCCTCATCCTTAAGACTACGCGAAACAGAAACATATAATGATATAGCCGTCGATACAACTTTGATACGTAAATGATTTTACTTTATAAATAAATATGAGAAGAATACTGAAAATAATAATAGTTTCAACATCGGTGCAAAACGTTTTTTTTTTTTTATTTTATCCGCTGCATGCATTAGAAAGTATGTTACAATTAATGATTATCTTGATCATCGTGAACTCATTTAAAATAGAAGCCAATGACTGCCAGGTTTTGGACATCTTGATCGCTTTAGAAGTCTGTGGTGGAGTATAGCATTCACGTGATGAAAGATATACCATTTCCTTTTGTACAACGGTGAACAGGATTAGAGGAATGTGAGAAACATTTTTGCTACACAATTATCTGTGACCAGAGTACTGAACGAGTTAGCATTGTTCTGAGCCTAAATATTAAACTGCGCTCTTAAATAAAACTTTGAATGTCAGTATGAAGTTTCACTGCACTTAAATCAAGTCTGTTTTAATATTTAAATCACCGAATGGACATTTTAGGCTCATAAATCAAGAATTAGAAACATCACTTTAGCCTAACTAAAGGTATTGTATGTATGTATGTATGCATGTGTGTATGTATGTATGTATGTATGTATGTATGTATGTATGTATGTATGTATGTATGTATGTATGTATGTATGTATGTATGTATGTATGTTTTGATATTATAACATGTGAACATATCACTTTATATGATTCTGATTGGACTAAGTAAGCCCATGAAATTATTCTAAAGTATTCTCTTTACTGATTGGCTGCGATAGTGGGAAAATGTTTTTAACTCCGCCTTCTAGACTGTTTTGGTTTCAGTGAACATTTTGGCGGCCATTTTTCAACTTAAATAGCAAAAGTGAACCAAGGAAAAATTATGTCGGTTATCTTAATATGGACAATTTATCTCCGCAAGGGTTATGTCATATATAACAAGGTCATCATAAGAAAAATAGTGTAAAACTCCAGAAAGAAGAACATAAAGAATTAAACCTTAGGTTATTGCTCATTTGTTAACCGGTGGCGCGGTGGTAGTGGTGGTGGTCAGTATGTCTGTACCATAGAAATCAAACCAACACTATATACAAGCGTGGTTTAAATAAAAACTTACGTAAGTAAATAAATTCACCTCTGTTTACAGAAGAATGCGGATGTAAACCAATCTCCCAACTGATAGAACTTTATCCAACCACAGATTATTTACGCAGTAAATATGTGATGATAATCCGACTCGGAAATTTCTGTACGTTTTCTGTATAGTCTATTGTTCCAAATCAAATGCTGCAAATATCCAGTCTTAAATATATTACAGTAAATAGGAATATTCATGCATTCATTAATACTGTTTCACGCCAAAATCGCAACAACGTCAGGTATAGTTGCAAAAGTGACATATTAGGGTAAACATGTATTGTAGGCGTACTGTGTACAATATTCAACAATGTTTTGAACAATGATTTTGTCTTTATAACATGTTCTTTCCATTCTGATGGACGCATGTTCTTTGATAGTGTAAAAAATGTACAATCGACGTTTACTAGTTTAACTTTGTTGGGGACTATATTTTATGCACAACAAATGAAAGGTACGTTGTTTGCCAGAATGAACGAAGTTATTCATTCTTCTTTATATGTAAATAATTTCCACTGAAAAAACTTTATGGTTAAAAGAATCTCAAATGGGTAACGATTTAATATTAAATTTTTGAAACTCTTTGAATAATTCCAGCTTTTGCTCGCCAGGGCCAACAAAAGCTGGAGATCGCTCCGGTGGCCTAGATGGTTAGAGTCCGCCTCGGATGCGGGAGGTTGTGGATTCGAACCCCAGCCGAAGCATACCAAAGAATTTTTAAAAAATTATACTAACAGCTGCCTCGCTTGGCACTCAGCATTAAGAGGTTAGCGTTAGGACTGGTTGACCTGGTGTCAGCATGATGTGCCTGGGTGGGACGTCATGCCACACGTCTGCAGCATGATGCCCCAGTGCTAGACTTCACTATAAACTGTCACAATGCAGTCATCGTAGCGATATGACGGACAAATTAAAGCTACGTTAAAAATCTAAATCACACCCACACCCACAAACAAAAGCTGGACACTATTCATCTAGTTTCATAAATTGATTATTAAATCATAACTCATTTGAGATCAGTTATATATATATATATATATATATATATATATATATATATATATATATATATATATACATATATTTGCTCAGATCTTTTCCTATTACCCATATATATTTATATATATATATATATATATATATATATATATATGTGTGTGTGTGTGTGTGTGTGTGTATGTGTGTGTGTGTGTTTTCTATTGTTACAAGTAGCCACTGCGCATGTATTTGGGTCGTGTGTATTAATGTTGTTGTTGCTGGTTTTCTCTGTTGGAGAATATCGTAACGATTTAATTACCGGAAAAAAATTGCAGATTTTCCTAGCTGAAATAAGTTTTACAAAACTCTACCCGACATTGTTAAAGATTGCCAAATACAATTTAACTATAAATTTGCATATGGTTCTGTTGGCTCAAGCTAAACTCCTTGCAAGCTTTGGACGTTACAGTTTCAATTATTAAGGAAGTTTCCTAATGCACTGTTTGATTAATGCTTAGAAAATATTTATGAATATTTGCGAGATATTCTAAGGTCTGGATGATAAGAGTATAAATTACTTTTTTAACCTGATGGTACTCTTATTCGCTTAATTTTAGTATGCGTTGATAGATAGTGCAATTTACTTAATATAATATTTTTTTACTAAATGTGTGATCTTTATATTTATGAAGCAGATTCTGCTACTTATGAGTAAAAGGTAATTAATTAAATAAATAATATTGACTGCGGGGAGATAAATATAGAACTCGAATAACTTGAAGGCAGCTTAATAAATGCAGACATTGTTGGTTAGACATATTTAAGAACAGAACAATCATTTCAAGAAAGATCTTTTTCCAAAATGTAGTCATGATTATTGCCTCATCTTCGCTACTAAAATACCGAAGTCACCATGCGCGTTTATTTTCCATTTATAATTTCTTTGACACATTCGCTTGTTATGGTCCATATTTTACAGTGTGTGATCAGAATGTATCCTGAACGAAAGGAGAAAGATTAATGGAACACGATTGCCCAGTTAATTGTTTAAGTCATATTGCATCTTTATTATTGTTATTTTATTGTTCAATTTTATTGATAATACTTAAGTATGTAATAAAACGGAAACACTTTATGTTTTGTCTCACTTTAAGTTTGAAAATATAATCGAACACTGCAATTAGTGTGTTTATCTGTTTTCTTTTCACTTCGTCTTTAACACACATTCTCTTTTGTTTTCCCAAAATCTTTTACAAACTCCATTGTATGCCATCATTTCTCTGTGTTAGATATGCTATATAAACCAGTGCGAATGCGTGTCTACTGTCTGCAATTCATTATTTCACCTTAAACGAACTTGCAAAAACGTCTTCGTATATAAACAAATTGGTTGAAAACGCATACATACATACATACATACATACATACATACATACATACATACATACATACATACATACATACATACATACATACATACATACATACATACATACATACATACATACATACATACATACATACATACATACATACATACATACATACATACATACATGCATGCAGATGTGATGTGATTGTGATTTTTAACGTAGCTTTAACAATTTTTCAGTCATATCGCTACGATGTCTGCAGTGTGGTAGTTTATAGAATTATCTAGCACTGGGGCATCATGCCGCAGACATGTAGCATGATGTCCCACCCAGTCACATTATCCTGACACCAGGCTGACCAGTCCTAACACTTAACCTCTTAATCCTGAGCGCCAAGCGAGGCAGCTGTTAGTACCATATATATATATATATATATATATATATATATATATATATATATATATATATATATATATATATATATATATATATATATACATAGATAGATAGAAATATATATTAGTATATATGCATGCGCTATGTGCAATAAAGCTTTATCTATCCTGTAGTTTTCCTTTCTTCTTTTAAGACACTTAGGTAACACCATTGATAATTTGCAGGAATATATTTTATACCAAATTTATGTGGGTTTTTTTTCGAACTAAAACGTCTTGTGATGCAGTAATATTTCCTTACATACGAGGTCGTCATATAGATGCATTGATAGATGGAAATTATTTTCTGCACCAAGTTTCGAAATAGTAATTTTGGTAGTGTTTATTATAGAGTGGGTTGGAGGAGTGCTTATTCATGAGTTCATTTTGCACAAATGAAGAAACATTATATGGTATAAGCATTTAAAGTTTTTATTCCATTGTACGATTCATATTTATAGGTCCCAGCACTGCGTATTATGTTGACGGTGCAAGTCATTGCGATATATGTATGAATCTTCTTCGTGAAATATCATAATTAGAAGTGTCATTGTCAATATTAACTCATGTCTATATTTACAACGCAATTAATCGGAAGTAAAATGACTCAACAAAAGCATTTATAAAGTGTCAGCTTAAGTTAAACATTATGAGGTTAACTATAGAAAAAGTTGTTCAAGTGCAAACAAAGATGAAATATAAACTATTTTTGTGAAAGATGCAGCTGATCATTTAGAGTAATCAATTAGTAATCAAATCTCACCATATATAAAGTCAAATACAAATTTCTCTCTTCCGGCCAGCAAAGGCTAGACAACTGAAACATTAAACTCGTTCTAGCTGTATTAATTCATTTACAAATAATTAATTGACGTTGAAGAAATATATAAGGTTTATTTAAGAGTAACTTGGTCATAAAGAACCCATCTGTTACGTGGTTTTCAACTGTGCAACGAGTGATGCTATACAAAACATTTACAAAGCCACATCAGGCATGCTACTCACGTACTAAAACACTTTAAAAATAAATCTGAATACATTATAACTACACACAGTTTCAGGGAGCCAACATTAGGTTTATTATCTGCTTACAGGTAAAAATATGCATCTTTCTCCCGTAATTGTAGAGTACTGGACAACAGTGTTAACTGTTAATATTTATTATAAGAAAGTCAATGAAGAACCTATATGTTGGAGAACATTATTTCAGCAAGATGATAATGGTCTGGCATATCCACTATTTCCAAAGAAAACAAAAGTAACTACAATGAAAGCATTTAGTACTCCCAGCCACAATAGAACACCTATTACCCAATATATAACAATTAAGCAGTAAGTAAAGCAATTAGAAGTGAAGATTAACTATATTCGTGGAGATGATATTATCTTTCGGGCATCTAGTGGCATCATAATGAATTTGAAATATCGTTAAATACAAGAATAAATTAAGAGGTCCAATGAAACATTCAGAAAGGATTTTAAGTTACTGTCGATGGATAGGTAAATAAGAGTGTTTCAAAGGCTGCTAATAATCTCTTACTGTAAGACAAGATATGTAGAAGAGAACCGAAAAAGACGAAGTATGTACAACTTATAGAGAAGAACTATGAAGACGATAGTCCATGTCTCAGGTCTACTTTTCTGGGACATTTTCATGCACAGTTATGTATTATTTATTTTCTACTTTATTATCTCTTTTCTTCCCTTTCTTCTTATTCTGTGTTGTTACTTTTCAGACCTGAATATTTATAAGAGTTTATGTGAGTACAACTGTATTTTCTATGTAAAAGCATGAAATATCTTATTACAACCAGGTCAATATACAATCGATGTATAGAATGTTAAATAATATTTTGATATCGAAATTAAGTACATTAACTTGTATTTATTTACCTGTTTAACTACTTGTGTTAGCTACTAAAATATTTGCCGTCTTTTTCTTTAATCAGAAGCAAACCTTTGTCTATTTAAATTTTAGGACTGTCATTTTATAATAAACGCTGAATTAATAACTTCTCTCATTCATGACCTTGCAATGATTGAACTTCAGTAAGGTTTATAAGAAAATTGTAGTAAAATAGGTTCAATAGATCATGATATTGTTAACATTCCATAATAGTTATACTCTAAAACTATACAAATAGTTGTCATCGTACTGTCATGTTTATCTATCTCTTCTGGTTTGCATGATATAAATTATAATGGTCAATTTTAGATACATTACATTGCTTCAACCTAATTTCTTTATACTTCAAGACGAAGTTATTTCATTTAGTAAACATGCTATTGTGTCCTTTTGACCATATACTCTGTAGAAAACTTCTTGCTGGCGAATAATATGGAAGAAGTTAAAGTCATAACTTGAAATATCAGGTGACCTAATTTCTGAATTATTAATTACCAGAAAACTTGACTTTCTTCACTAGTGCGACCCTCGTTCTAATTATAAAACTGCCTCTTTGCTTTTCATATAAAGGATTTTACAGGATAATTATTTACTCATACCTTAAAAAGCAGTCTGAGTTTATTGATTTAATTGTGTGAGTTAAAAGAATTCAATTTACTTATTTCAATTACTCATTGTATTTACCAGGTGCTCATACACTTTGGATTACGTAGCTCTGAAAGAATTACTCTGAATTTTATCGAAAGACATTTTGAATTATGTCATTGTGATGAATATGGACAGTTAGAACATCAAACTATTCATGACTATTAGCACATCATCAAAATAGATTGACATAACTTGAGACACCAATGAAAGTCATTCTGAATGCTCCATACTTTCGGACTTGTGATACAATTTTAAGGGCTACATAGGATATCACTCTGCATACTGTAAATTATTTTCAATGTTTCACTTCCTTCTCCTCAAAAAAGTTAGTTGTTACAAAATTTTTTGGAACTTCAGAACTTTAT